TAAGGGAAATGAGGTGCAAGACTATTTAACATAATGCAAATATTTCGTGTGGAAGCATTTTAAAGGGGGATATGAAAGGGCCAGGAGGCACAGAAAGTATTTATACTTCTTGATAACAAGCACTGCTATTTCTGAATTGATTCGGCCTCAAATACGAAGAACTTCTGAGTCACCATATTAAATTGATACAAGAATTGCATGGACTTCTTATTCCTCTACATAAATCCCTTTTATGCTGCCAGATGTTCATGTGTAACACACGGAAGTCTGGATCTGTTGCTGCTTTCTTGTGGTTGGATCATGCAATTCCTATTCAGGCTTCTTATTTCCTGCTGTCGTGGTTTAGCCCCAGACAGTGACTAAGCACCACGCAGCCGCTCGCTCACTCCCCCTGCCCTGGTGGGATGGGGGAGAGAATCGGAGGAGTAAGAGTGAGAAACACTCCTGGGTTGAGATAAGAACAGTTTAATAATTGAAATAAAGTAAAATAGTAATGATAATAGTAACAGTATAATAATGATAATAATAATAATGATATACAGAGCAAGTGATGCACAATGCAATTGCTCACCACCCGCCGACCAATACCCAGCCAGTTCCCAAGCAGCGATCGCTGCTCCCCGGCCAACCCCCCCCAGTTTATATACTGAGCATGACATCATATGGTATGGAATAGCCCTTTGGTCAGTTGGGATCAACTATTCTGGCTGTGCCCCCTCCCAGTTTCTTGTGCCCCTGGTAGGGCATGGGAAGCTGAAAAGTCCTTGACCAGCATAAGCAGTACTTAGCAACAACTAAACCATCAGCGTGTTATCAACATTCTTCTCCTACTAAATCCAAAACACAGCACTGTGCCTGCTACTAGGAAGAAAATGAACTCTATCCCAGCCGAAACCAGGACACCTGCTAATACCATTGGAAATCTAAAAATTGTCTGGATTTGGAACCTTATTTGAGAAAATGTTCTTTTGCAGTGGCAATTTTCATTTCAGATACAACAGAATGAGAGGTGTGCTGTGTTTCACAGTAACTAATATGCATAATAGCTTAGTAGGAAAGTATTGGTTACTATTAATTATACCAGAGGGCAGATATCTTGATGATTCAGCAATTTAATTACCGATTTTGACAGCAGTACAATCTTAGAATTTTTTTTTTTTATATAATCTAAAAGGAAATGTAGATTCTCGTTTAGATCTTGCTGTTCTTCGATCCAAGTTATTGGATCCAAATCATTACTCAACTGCCTGTTCAAAAACATTAAATGTCATGAGTGACACAGGTTGTAGTGCTAAGTCCTTCATCCCTTAAGCTGGCAAAACAGAAGCTGACTGTTCCCCAAGAGGGCTGAGTGGCAGGAAGCATTGGAATAATCCTTCATGAGAAAAACAGCTTGGAGTTACCCAGCTTTATTTACTTATTAGGCATAAATGAAACTTCAGAATCAATATTAGGGATATAGCCTTTCTCCTGCAATCACTTGAATTCTGTAATAAATCGTTATCTTCAAACCAAACTGTGAGCGAGAAGTTTTGGAGTCTGCCCTGCCCTGTAGCTAGGGTCTGAACACATTTCAAAATGTGAATATAATCCAGCTTAGAGTTTTTGACAAATCAAAGTTCAGAATAGGAAACTGTTTCTAAATGGGAACAATTTTTAAAAAGAATATATTTCTCTGTTATTGAATAATATATGGGGACCTATTTTGCACAACTCTGTGAGCATCCTGTAGGAGATAGTTCAGCTTTGCGTGTTATCATTAAATAAATCTCTACTATTTCTCTAAGGAGGTTTTTCCAAGTTAGGTTTTTTTTTTTTTCCCTTAGGTAGAGAGGGACTATCTATAACTACAACTGTCTGTTTACCAGAGCCTTCTTTCTTGGAAAAGGCTTTTGTAAAGTAACCATCATGCAGTCCAGATCACATGTAGGAGTAACTTGCATTTGACAAAGCTACCTATTTTCCGTGGTTTTTTTATTTCTGTTGGAGAAGAGAATTCAGAAACTGGTGCCAAGGCACAGTCCTATTTCTTTGGTTTACCGAGGTTTTGTCCCGTAAGAATAAATGGTGTCTTGCTCCATCAAGTCGTTCTAAGAGCCCCTCCAAAAGCTAAATGCATGGGCCTTGCCTTTCTTACACTTTCTCATTCTGTTGCCAGTGGGTACTCGGGGGGCCACAGTATCTTGGAAGCAAAGGGTTGGTGGAGAAAATTGATGCCAGCTTTCAAGAGCGGGGAAGCTAATTCAGGGAACAATTTCATCCAAGGTTAATGGAAGAACAGACCTCCAACACGGTATCAATTGGATCAAGCTTAAAGCAATCAGTTATGCCCTAGTAGCTATAACTTCAGTCCTGGTCAGCCAGGCAGCACTGGTGATGTTTTACAACACTTTCTCAGTGGCTTTTATCAATAAGGAAGGAGAAACAATTTTCTCAATTCCATTTCCAGAGTAATATTCTCTGTGCCCAAATGAGGGAAAGAAAACCTTTTTCAGGAAGTACAAACAAAATAGTAGTTGTAGATTCTATTCCAGATAGTTTATAGATGGAGACAAATGAAACGTATATATAAACACTTTCAGAGGACAGCTGAATGTGGAGTGGCTTTCACATAATAAGGCTTTGTGCATCCAGGATCTTCTGACAGTCCTGAAGTGTGTGCTGCAGTTACGTATTTTCTTGTCTCTTTGTTCAGAATGGTCTGTGTTTTGAGTTCTTACTGCAAAAAATTCAACTCTAAAGACTGTCAGCCTTTCTAGGCTGTGAAACGAATGTCCCAGGAACTGATGCAATTGTTAACCCTTCCATCTACCCCCAGAGGTTAATTCCCTGATAAGTCTTCACTTGCTGTGGAAGGTCAGCAATGCAAAAAACAGTTGTAACTTTTCCTGTTTTATCAATTCAGAAAGGGATTTTCTTTTTTTAATTCATCAAAATAGTAAGTGTTGAAAACAGAAAATTTGCAGGGAATTTGTAGCTATTTTCTTGGAAAATTTGTCACGCCTGCCTTAAACTTTCTTCCCTGTATTCATACGAACATTTGTACTTTTGGACTGCCAGCACCACCATGGAACTGGTCTGCCAAAACTGACCATCTACTTCATGTGGAAGGAGGTCAGGAATGGCTGAAGATAAGGGTAGAGAGTTTGAACCTCTTTATTATGATGGTTGTGTTCGCCTTTGCTGGCTTAAAGCAGTCATGAAACTATGGTATCATGTATCTAAATCCCGCTAGGTGTTTTCTAGACTGCATTTCAGGTTCTAGAAGTAGTAAAGACTAGCGCAACCATTTAAAATTATGTGTTCCTGTCTCTCTGAGTGCTCAATTGTACTTAGTGTCCTATTAAAGTCTAACAGCCTCTTACTCTAGATAAGTGAAAACCGCAAGTAGTAAATAGTTGTGCAGTAACCTTCAACATGCTGCATTATGTGTTTTAAATGAATCATCAGATTGGCAACATGCTGACCTTTTACTCGTTAGTGAAGGCAGTATTCTCTCTGAAGAAACAGACAACCGCAGGCCCAAAATTCTCATGAAGATGACATTTAGTGCAAAGCTAGCCAAAGAAGTTTGTGCTCTACCACACCGGCTTTTTCCACTTTCAGTTCTGTCTCTCTTCAGTTGTACTAGTAGAGCTGCTTCTGGTGCTGCACTGTAAATCGGATCAGTGAAACACTCCTTTCACTTTGTTTAATCTCATCCCTTAATTGAATACAAAGCCGAAGTGTCTCCTAATACCAGTCCCTTAGAATTTTAATTGCTTTTACTGAATTACCTGCTTAAACGCCCAATAGATCATTTAAAAAGAGATTTCGGCAAAGGTAGTGCCATAGAACCTTTTAGATAGCGAGCTATACTGCTTTTCTGAATCTAGTCAGAAATCCAAGTCATCTAACTGTGCACGTAAAAGTCTAGTGGGAGGGAATAGAAGTTAGAGAACAGCCTAGTTTGTTTATTGAACCTCCAGTTGGTATCTGTGCCATTCCAAGCAGGTGTCACTGGTAAAGAAGTATCAGAAGTATCAGTAGCCTTTGTTTGTTTGTTTGTTTGTGTTTTACTACGTATCTTTTCTAAATGTTATGAAAACACACTGATTTTACAGAGCGTAATTGCATAACTTGGGAGCTTTTATAGGGATACTACTTTAAGGACAACCATCTCAGATTCATTCTGTCCCTAACACTACTCTGAAATGTGGAGGTACACCTGCACTGTCAGTTTAGCTTTTCTGTTTGCACTCAGGTCTTGGTCTGCGTGCAGAGAATTGAGAGTGCTCCTGGGCACTGTTTTGGAGCATGCCAATTAGTTCAGTCGGAAACAAAGTCCAGATACAGTTCTGAGCCTTGTTCACACTAGAGATGTTTGCCAGCAGATGATGTGGAGGACACAGCACCGTGCAGGACTCTGTCTGCCGTACACAATTGTTTAATGCTGTCCCAGCAGGTTTATACCCTCACAGTTTCTGATGCATCCTTGGACGATATACCAGGGCATGCAGCATTTACCACAAATGTCTTAATTTTAAAATGCCATTTTAATAGGTTGTTACACAGTCTTCACGTTATGTCAGACACTGAAGCGAACAAAAATAAACCAAAATGCCCTCAGATGATACCTGTCTGTATCAGGAGGGATGCAATTACAGAGCATCCCATTAAAATTTAGGTATCATTGTGCTGGCAAATGCTGAATCTGTTTATGACAACAAGATGTCTAGAGAAGACACTGGTGACAAGCTTTAACTCAGAGGTAGTGGTGTTTGCAAGTGACATGTGCTGTGCAACTAGTTAAAAAAAAATGTTGCATTCAAGAGGGTCATAGGAAAATACTAATGAACACAAAATAGCGTTCGTTATTTTAGTAGCATGAGAGTATTAAAAACTCACATTGTAAACTTTATTTTGTTTGAATTGCCTGTTTCTGACCAAGTTCTAACTTTATTTCTTTTTTTAATGTATCTTAGCATACTAAATTCTAAAAATTGCATGTGTCCTTTCAGGTTTGCCTGAATCTATTATTGCAGCGGCATGTGCTAGAAGTGGCCAGAGAGTTCTTCATGTTGATGCGTAAGTTACACTGATAATTTTCTGGTTTAGGAGTTAAACTGGCTAGAAGTATATCTGTGTCTATGTCAGTGTGCCCTTCAGGACTTGTGTTTTGTGTTCATCTGGCATCAAATAATCTTCCGCTTCTGTCTCTACCTTGTATTTGGGGTGTTATTTCCATCAGTAGAATGGGCAATTTTTGTGTGCTAGCTCAATAATTTGGAACACAAGTGAGGTGGTCAAGGATGATGTTGATGACTCCCTCTTTTGTACAGACAGGAATGATTGCAGGGTTAGTGCCCTTCATTATCATTCCTGGCAGTAATTATCCCATTCTGGTTTTGTGAGAATTTTTACTTGAGCCATTATCATTTAATGACAAAATGTTTTACTAGTATCTTATTTGTATCAGTTCTCAATGCCTAGGGAAGTTAATACAAGTATTTTTGCATTTTAATTGTTATCACAATGAAGACAAGTGAAATCTGGCTGATAAGGCAGGAGGTGAACACAGCACTCTTCTTTGTTTGCTGTCTTCTCTCTATCCCATGCTAAATTAGTTTGTTAGAAGAGTACAGAATACCACTGAAATAAGTTGATTCGAAAAGTGCTTCTGTTGCACTTTGAAGTAGAAAGATTTGCTGAAGCACTTGGAGTAGCATATTTCATTGTATCCTTTTAAGAGATTAACGTTCTACTTTACTTCTCTTTACCAATTAGCCAAAGTGTTTTTTTTTTTTTTTATAAACTGTGTAACTATACACTATGATGCACACTGGTTTTTGGAAAAAATTAGGATCTTTGAACCTTGGCTTATCTGTATGCCTGTTCAGCAAAATTTAGTAGCATGACTCAAGTCTAGAGCTCTGGTTTCTGAGGCAAGCTGGAGATCACAGAATCACAGAATGCTTTGGGTTGGAAGGGCCCTTTAGAGCCCACCCAGCCCCTGCAGTGACAGGGACAGCTTTAACCAGAGCGGGGTGCTCAGAGCCCCGTCCAACCTGGCCTGGGATGGTTCCAGGGATGGGGCATCTCCCACCTCTCTGCGTAGTGGATCTCTGGGTAGTTTGATCTTGAGATCAAACGCTGGAGCCTCAGCTGACCAAGACAAACTTTTTAAATACCCCTCTCTCATCTACCACTTTAAAACCAATTTTCTCATAACTCGTTTGAGACAATTGGTCATTGCTAAGCAGCTTTTGAGGCTGCTTTACTCTCTGTGTTTTTCTAGAAGATAACAAATGCAATGTATTTTGGGGGATTTCTGTGCTAGACGCTTGCACTGTGCCTGCTGTAGTTCATTATGTAAGATCAAGGTATGATTATACAGCCCCTTTTTTAAAATTTTTTTTTTGGCAGCACTGCCCCTGATCTTGATCATAGCTAGCTCCTGCTCCCTTACTACTTTTTCAGTCTCATTGGTAGCGCAGTTATGCAATTTGCTGGGCTGACATGGTTTTGGGAGAGGGTCATAAGCAGGAAGCAAGGACTACCTAAGCAGCACTGCTGCTGCTGCATGTTGTCGTAGCCTAAAATGTATAATAATTTGCTAAGGTTAAACAAATTTCTGCAGTTCAGCTGTGGTAAATATTTGTGCATGCAACCCAAGTGGATAACTTGGTAAAATTTGACCTGAAGTGTGTGTGTGGGGGGGAATACCTTAACGTGTTTAACTGTAAGATCATAACTCTGTTAATAACCAGTAAAAGTCTATGTGGGGAGTAGTTTCAGGCAACCTGTTACCTCTTCTCTAGCTGCTACCTGCTGGATTTCAGCAGAGAAGTGTGCCAGGTGGTTTTGAAGTGGTGGTAGCAGCAAGAGTGCTGTGAGCTTAGGTGCTCAGATTGTTAGCACTTGTTTGCCAAGAATTACAAGGTTGGTGTAGTGTTTTATTTTTACACCATATTTTTGAGCTCTTGCCTTTCTATGAAAATTCTTGTGATACACACCGGTGTGTCCAGCACCTAGTTTTAGAGACTTTTCCCAGAGACAGTATACGTGTTTTCAGTTTTTCTTGTGTCTTGTACCAAGAGCTTGAAAACAATATGTTTTCTGCTGTTCATTTTCTCTGAACATCATCTGTTCAAGATTAAACTTCGGTAATCTCTTTTTGCCTACAGCCCTTCAAAGGACCCATTCATTTTTCATACATTTATTTCTAATTTGAAATCATACACACTTTCAAAATTTGCAAGAGTAGCTCACTAACTTGGTTGCATGAAATATGATTTGCAATTGCTGGGTGTGCTATTACACTGCCTGCAAAGTCGCTGGCTTCCTGTCTTGGACTGGAGTGAGGACAGGTGATGCCCTTCAGAGTCAGTAGTTTTTATCAAGAGGAGGGTGTTTGGATTAAGAACTCACCTTAATGAATCTGCAGGCACTATGGACTACTCTCAGAACCTGCAGAAAACTCCCAGAAATTACAAGGAAAAAAGTTCTGAAATGGGCTGATGTTCTAGTATTTTACATCACAGTGGGACAGTACACAGCAAGGCAGTACTTGATGCTCCGTATTTAATGTAACTAATGATTCAGTTGAAACAAAGCGAGCTCTTAAGATTGTAATAATTTTAAAGAAAGATGCAGCTACATGGTAGTGAAATACTGGAAAATGCAATAGGTGTTCTGCCATATTGGCAAGAAGAATGCTTAGATGCAGGTCAAGCAGATCTTACGGAAGTTGCTATAAAGACCATGCATAATATATAAGGGTATGTTAATTTCAAACATTTTGGTACAGTAACTCTTAAATTGGCAATCAGATTGCTAACCAAAATATTAAAAACCTTATTTTAGAGTAAGCAGATATAGAATAAATAAAAGTTATGTTTGGATTTTAAGCTTAACGCATGTATTACTGGTAGACTACTTAGATTTTGTTAAATGAACCACTTCTGTTATTTCAATTTTTCATATTCATTGGTTATCGAAGTCTGTAATAATAGTTAGCCACTGGAACTTTGATTTCTTTTATCCATGCCTATTTTTAGCTATGAAGAAGAGCCTTTCAGGAAACTCACAGAAGCAGGCAATTAGAACTGTGGAATACAGATTTTGTTTATTACTGTTTTCACTTAAATATGCTCATTTACATTCACACATGCTTTTGTTTTTATGGTGAAAATGAAGTCTTCCACATTTGATTCCTTTTTCCTGTGGAGTTATTTTCCAACTCTAGTGCAGGCTAAGGTCAGGGGAAGGTGTTCTTAACCAAGGTGTTCTTCACTCGTATTAATAGTTGCCATTTTAATGGGTGTATGTGCTCACTGAATCATGGTCTAGAATCCGTATCTTGGCAGAAAAAATAGAAATGTTTATACTGTACAACCCCTTCCCCATAAATAGGGAAGCGTTTCAAGCCATCTGCTTTTCATGTTTAAAGTTAGTACTCTTGCAAAAAAAAGCCTACCAAAACCAACAGAAAACCCCCACCCTGATGCCTTCTGAATTTTAAGTGAAAAGTTAAGTCTTACAAAGCTTGCCAGAGATTCATCTGAATTAAAACATTTTAATCTTATCTACTATATGTCTAGTTTAATATACTTATTTCTAGGTGAGTTTTCAAATTTCATTTTACTGAGGTAACAGTATAATTGAAAATTCATCAACAAAAAAATCTGTTAATATTCAGAATATCGCCTTTTTAACAATACATGTTGTTCCCTTCTTGAAGGATCACGAGTTCAAATTTTTTTCACAGTATAAGAAAATAAGATTTGGGGCTACTGAATACCTGTTTGTATTAGGTATGCTACTTTGATCTTTTGTTCTCCACAAAGGTCTGAGTTAAGTTTGGCACAAGGTATAGAAAACATGTATGGATAAAGTCTTTGTTTATAGTTTGCTTGCACTCATTACCTTGTGTACATCATTTTATTACTTTTAATCTCCAGCCATGTTTGCATTTATCATAATATACTGCATAGGTGATTATGGAAGATAGTTTTGAAGTGGTCTATTATAAAATACTAAGTTCTAAGTTTGATTTATAAACACTGTCCAAGCATTGCCATCAACAGTAGCTAATCTTATTCAAAATAGTCACTTCACTGCAGTGTTGCCATAAATTCCTGTAGACGGATTTTAAACTAAAGTTAGCTTCTGCCAAATAGTAATTGAAGGAGCTCTATTTCTCTGTGCCAGCTATCTGTCTCAATAAACGTAAAATCTGTGGTTCTTTTCAGAGCGCTACATTTACTGTAGATATTAATGAGCTGTTGACATGTGAAATTTCAAGGATATTTGTTAAGTGATTTAGGAAAGTAATTTGCAATTTAAAATGTGGAGATTGGCACTTAGTTTAAACTTGAAGTTGCTGAAGAAAGGTAGATCAAGACTAAAAGTTGATTACTTGAAGTGAATATACCTCCCATACTAATTGTTCATATGCATAGGACTTCCTCCTGATGGCTTGCTGGGCTTTCTAATTTTGGTCCTTTGCTTATTTGCTTCTTATAATTACATATATAGTTATGTACTAGTTTGGTTACTGAGGATGGAGCAGTTGGAGGTGACATGTTTAGCTACACTTTGTATTTGATTTTCAGCATTTAGAATATAGCATTTGTAGACTGTAGTTGTATTGTCTACGTCCTTCCTCGTTGACTTATTTATCTATGTCGAGTTTAATTCAAAGGCAAAGGAGTGTCAAGATGCAGGATTTTAACTCCTCTTTTGTGCCCAGTTTGCTCTGTGTACTTCTCATGTCTTGCTTCTTGACACCTGTTATCTTCCTTACTTTTTGACCTTACTTTGCCTGCAGAGTGTTCCTTGTGTCCAGAATTCTGTTTTATCTGAGCGTGCAAAAGCATGCTGGGCACCCTCCCTGTACCCACCCCCAACAGACCTGCTTTTGTAGTTTGTTCCACTTCTTGCTAGACAAGCTGTCTTAACATTTTTCAGAACGTGTAAAATATATAACGTAATACAACCTGTGTCTTCATATAGCCTTCTTTTTGATCTTTAACTTCTGTGAAGTGAGGTAGCTGTGTAAGTACAGCAGCCGGAGAGGGAAAAGGTTGCTTCTTAAAGCAGGTCGATTTCTTGTAAGAAAAATAGAGGAATTGCTTAACTTTCAGTAAGGAAACCTAGGCAAAAATTCTTAATTCTGGTATCTTTTGACCTTTTTTGAAAAAGTTGGGTTTATTTTTATTTTGGTTTAGGATATGATCTCATAGCAAAGATATTCAAAAGTAAAACATGGTCTCAACTGGTCCATGATAATTAGCTTTGGTCATGTTCATATCCAAGGATATAATGTAATGTAGTACAAATAACTGCCACCATCACCCTTTTAATGAGCTGAAGGATCTCAAGCGCTGTTTGGGCTAAACCCTTCCTCTTGGAAGGCAAGGAAGCTTAGTCCACTTCTCATGCTCCAATACACAATTACTGTGCCAGAATGGGAATTTTTAATACACGTGACTGCGTACTTAATAGGTAGCGCATGAAGTAGCGCATGAAACTTTATGGCTTTGAAACATAAGTCATTTTGTGTTCAGATCCTTAAAATCGATGTGGCAGTAACTTCTTTTGCAAAAGACAGCTACTCTGATGGTTCGAGACTTCTTTCTGAAAGATCAAATGCCGGACACACACGTACAGGCAGCTCTTGGGAGCAATCATGAGGCATCAGCAGCTTTTCTTCAGACATCACCAGCTTTGACTGTTACACCATGGCTGTTATGACATGGCATTGAGAAGGGCAGTCTTCTTACCAGGCGGTACATGAAATACTTCTGTTTTACTTATGTATCTGGTGCTTTCAAAACTGTTCAATTTCTCAAATTGCAGTCTGTCTTCAAAAGGACATGTTAGATATTCTCTTGGTTTGGATTCCAAGAATGTTAATTAGTTGGAAACAATTTGCAGTTTCAGTGTTCTGGACTGGGATTTGCTAATTCTTTCAAAGTATTTGAAGAAAAAATGGTGTTAGTAACTGAGAAAAAAAAATCACACACTGAGGTAGGAGAAGAGAAAATTAAGCTTTTTGCAGAGGTAAAACTATACATTTCCAAACTTTGGCAAAATGGCTTCAGCAGTTCTGCCGCTAGCGCTGAGCTACAGATTCGAAATTTGAAAAATGTGAACTTAAAGCAGCATTTCAATTCATATGAAAATCCAGGTAACACAGGAGAGCTTTTGAGCAAATATCATCTAGGAAATAATGTACGGTAGAAAAAGAAAACACCTGTGCTCTATCTGACTTGGTAGAAAAATTCATTTTTAACTCTGCTGTTACACCTTCAAAATGTTTCATGTTCTTAGTTGGAAAATAATTGAATTACAGCCCTAAGAAAGGGAGAGAATATCCATCTTTGTAGTTTGTTAATGTAGCAAGAGAAGAGAGGAGCTTAGTCCTTGAGATTTTGGGACAATATTTTAGCTTTAATTAGGCTTTGATCTTGACCATTACTTTAAGGAATTTCTCGGTTCATCTTCAGGGCAATTATAACAAAAATACTTGGTTACAAAGGGCTCCCAATTGTAAACCCATTAGTCAGCTCTTTTCAGAATTCCTCTTCCAGATTTTTACTAAAAACTTTGCTCGTTATATCAGTAATCATGTCTGGTCTACCTTCTTTCTGTAGTGTTTTCAGATGAAAAAATTAAGCAATCCTGATTCATCATGTAGTGCAGGGTAAACTAATTAAAATTCCAGGGAAAAAAACCCTGGAAGTTGATGCTTCAAGAGAAGATTAATATCTGAGCTGGTATAGCATAACTTGGGAAAGGTGCTCAGACACCAGAGGAAAGGAAGGACAGCTGCGATTCATTTTCCATTCGAGAAAGGCCATACCGTCTTCTGAAAACTGATTGAGCTTCAGAACGGTATTATAGAGTGCTTTGTTGAAAAGATTGATTCACATCAATGGTGGTTAAAAAGAAAAGCAATTTCAAAGGAAAATCCACCTGATGAACAGAGGAATGTTTACATCAAAGATGTCTGACAGCTCACAAATAAGCTTTTGTAACTTTCTGTGAAAATAACATATTAATTTCTCTTACTGAAAGTTTTAAGTATTCTAAATATGCATGAATTTATATTGGTATGGATTCAAGAAACCCAGTCCTAATTTTAGGCAGGTGTTTTCTGCGATTTCTGTGATCAATGGCCTTGCTTGCTCTGACAGCCAGATTGTATTCCATATTCAAGGAAACTTGCAACTAAAGCAGCAGATTCCCTTAAAAATAAATCTTTGTGGCTGTGTTTTTTGGACATCCCAGAAGTAGCAGATAATATATGAATGTTGAACTTATTCAGTGGAATCTTAAGAAGCAGGAAGAAATTAACCTGCACCGCTGACAGCTCGAACAAAGCTGGAGATTATCATTGCATGCAACTATCAGTTACTGTTTTTCAGATTGAAATCTGACAGAGTTAGGCATTTAATGTATTTAATCCTCATTGCTTTGTATTCTACGTGATGCCAAATAGCAGTACTTTTTAAGCCTCACCCATGTCGTTCACATAATGAGGTAAGCATGAAGTCCTTTTTATAGGTGATTGGAGCTTCTGGTTGGTAACAGATCTGCAGATGGAGCTCTTCTGCTTCGAGCAACTAAATCTGGGGGCAGACTATGTGTGTTCTCTTATAGACCCAGTCCTCCCAGTTCATGGCCTTAAACGCCATGTTCTGGTGTTGAAGCCACCTTTATTCAGTGAATGCTGGATTTTGTTGTCTTTGCAGAAGATGTCCTATTTATGTTCTTCACTGTTGCCTTCATATGCTAAGTAAGCAACATGGTATGGAGCATCGCCCCCTGGTACTGCAAAGGGGCTGACACTCTTCATGAAGTCTTTGTCAGTGCAGATAAGCCTTGTCAAAACCAGCCCATCCTAAACAGTAGAAGCAAACCTGAATTTAATTTTGCACTTTTATCACAGTTATCTCTACAATTTGAGTGGAGAAGGTTATAAGATTTTAAGTTCCTTTTTTTTAGCAGTCTTCACGTTGTACTGTAAAGTGCAAAACTGTCTTCCTCCCTATTTTTTTTTTTTTTTTTAAGTGTATGCAGTAACATTAGCTATCCATTCAGGAGGGTATTTTTGGTATCTTTCATGCTTCTGGAGTGCCAGCATACAGTGCCAGAAAACAGAGTTAGATCCTGAAATGCCTTTTTTATTTTGCAAGAACTGCTGATTTTTTAAAAATGTAATTGCTCTATTATTTTTCCTATCAGAGTTATTAAATACTTAAGATGTGGTGTGCATGATAACAAAAGCTAATTAATCCAACTGATGTTTAGAGAAATACTGATAGAAAAAATTAAAAAAGGGAGAGCAGAGACTTTCTTTGATTAACAGCAGAACTATTAATTTTCTGTGATTTAAAAGAAGTAAACTAATATTTTTCAAGAAAGAAGGTGGTAAACATAAAATGGAAAGTACTCAGGGAGGTGTGATCGTTTTGTGCAAATCAGTTCCTTTGGCTCCACCTACAGTATATGCAGTTTAATAAAAATTTCGCCAGAGCATCTTAACAGTCTATAATAAGCATAATCTGTTCTGGAAGCAGTAGATAGATAATAGAGCGAAATTTCCTTTATTTGACATAATGGTTAAGAGAGATGTGGTTGCTACTGTCTGGATGCAGTTCCTTGGCATAGCCGCCTCGTGAAGCCCTGTGTTCAGAAGTGGCGTGCAGTGCAGCGATGCTAACTTGAGATCAGCTTCGCTCAGAAGCAGCGTAGCTGTGCTCATGTGAGAAAGCTATTAGGTCCTGCCAGAACCTGAAACTGTGGAGCGTGCTATGGATGCAGAAAACCTGAACGGGCTTTTCCGAGAACTCAGTTGAAACTGGCGGACTTGTTGGCTTGGCTCCACACTAAGTAAAGAGGTCTATAGCGATGTACATGTTTGAGGTAGAGGTGTAGAGTCAGTCTGGCTGAGAAGCAGTAATACCTATATTTTCCTTTTACTCATAGCAT